GTTATGTTTTCCTTACTGTCAGCTAATGCATAAGATTAATTAGTTAATAATACGCTTTATTCAACGCCCGGTATGTTGCAACCAATACACACTCAGGTCAGAGTGAATGCGCTCGGGCTGCCAAAACAATCAACTTGTCAAAGCTTTACTATATAGCGGCAGGCAGCTCTCGTTTTATTGCTGGCACTCTTGGCCACCGTCAATGCCACTTCTAATTCTGGTTGATTCTTCAACGATCGAGTTTGAGCCCATGATTGAGAACACAAGTCGTTCCCAGTATATAGATAGTCTTAAAGATCAATACCTTTTGCTCTATAAGTAACTATTGTATCCGGGTCCTCCAGAAGGTCCTTAAGAGACATAGCTATCGCAATTATAGGGTTTAGTAGTACAAATACTACAGCTAAGGCCAAAAGTCTTATAAGTTGTTTTCTCGTTATTGTTCATCGAGGCTGCAATCCTTTGTATAAATATCAGATGCCGCTTAGACACGGAATCTCTCTTCATTTCCCACCAAATGTAGCTTCTGTAGTATACTCAAGCTACACAATGGCTTGACCATGTAACCTCTTCAGCCTTCACCGCCTGAAGGTCTACTCCAAAAGCATCCACCTGTGGCCACAATCTTTACAAGTGACCAGAAAAGATCGTCAAGTACACGTTATCCTAAATGGTGCAAGCTAGCCCGTTCCGGCGGACGTTGAGTTTGTGGCTACAAAGTTTGTTTCACTATTGGCCGTTAACGCCGTTGACTTATGACTGTTACACTGCCATTTTCGCAGAGCTAGTGGATTTGCCGTTTTGCTACCCCGCTCTGAACTCTGGGAAGAGTTGCATAAGAAGGCAATTTCTCCTTTTTGGAGCGGCCGAAACTCTATGATCTGTTAACACTCGGCTCAGCTGATAAACTCACATCGACCTTGTCAATTGACCCGTCCTTCCTGTAAAAAGCCGGACCATGACCTATCTTACTTGTGGCTATGACAGCGATACATCAAGCATTTCTGATGGCGACATTGATACCCCACTCACTTTGGACGTTGTGGGTAAGAAAACCCGGCCCGCTGTGCTGATAGAGCTAATAAAAGATGCTAAAGAGTTGGACGTGAACGATATATTATCTTTGAGCATTTCGGAAACTGAAGAATCATTGGAGACGTCTGCTCTACATGGTCAACCAAGCACGCCCTTGAATCATAGTCTATTAACGACACAACGAGGATGGGAAGGTCTATGTACCAAATACGATCAAGGGATCCAACATCTGCGAGATATCGAGGATCAGATGTTGCGCTATCAGGCACTGCATCCCTGTCTCTCTATCACTCATGGGAATCCTATGCTATACACACAATGCCACCACATGGTAAAGGATCGAGGCCCCAACAATATTCATCGAACTGTCGATTCTCTTGGCGGTCAAGAGGGAGATGCGGGGAAATGTTGTTCTCAAGACCACCACCATCACCTCAAAGTTCATCTTGATAATGCTGTGGAGGTATCCATTGTTACGCTTGATACCCTGACCGGAAAGAAGACAATGATAAGCTTGACAACCAGGTCAACTATCAAACATGTTCAGCAGCTACTTGGGTTTTGGGAATACGATTTACCAATGAGTTTGCAGGATGGAATTACAAGCCAAGTTGGAAACATTTCTTTCAGTAAATGAGACTGTAGTATATATCTCAATAGCTGCTCGGGATTCCCATTTATTTAGATATTCGATCTGCATTCAGTGTTCTTTCTACTTAGGGTAGATCGCTCCTTTTATGGTCTACCAAACCTGCTGAATACCGTGAGTCTCTACAAAAGAGCCTAGGCAATGACGGCCAGTCTGTCAAAATCAGGTGCCCAACCACCATTGACGCCCGAAATGGTAATGGTGTTCGGCCCACTGGTTTTGAAGCCAGAAAGCTCCACGGCGTAGCCCTTGTAAACATCCTTGTCCCAGTTGTAACCTGTCAGTGGAAAGCTCACAGTCTGCGCAGTACCGCCATTGACCTTGATGGAAGCCAAGCGGTCGTTGGTACTACCGGTGAAGCTGAAACCTACATCGCCATTGATGAAATCAAATAGAACGTTTTGAGTGACCTTTGACGTGCTGATATTCGAGAGGACAACCTGACCGTTGGTGCTGCCACCAACATTTCCGACCTTGGTTGAGGAGGTGCAACCAGAACAAGAGGCAGTCTTTGCCCCTGAAGACAATGACCCAGTGGATATAGAAGTGTACTTGTAGATGGCGGTGCTACTGACTTTCTTGATGTTTGAGAGACGTAATGCGACCGAGCCATGCCCGTTGACTTGCTTGGAGAAGGAAGCCGCTCCAGTGGTAGTTTTGCCCGTCCACAGATCCTTGATGTCAGCTGACTGGTAGCCGAGGGCAAAGAGTTGGAGGCTGAGGGTTCGAGCACTATTGCTCTGATCGACATAGAGAACTGCAACATCCCCGTTGGCAAGCGGTCCCGCCCACAAGTCTCGGTCACCAGTCCATCGCTGCACCAAGCTGACGGGCTTGACGGCTGCGTCCTGGTTGATCGAGATCAAGTCCTTGTTCTGAAGAACAGCCACAGTCTGGTCCGACAGCGCCGTGATATCTGTGGAAATCATGAGAGCGGACTTGAGCATGGCCCATAGAGCGAAATGGGTCGCCTGTTCGTCAAATGTCATGCCAGAGTTACCAACCTCGAGAAGATCAGCATCGGCGATGTGGCCAGGACCTGAGAGGCCCCTATGTGCGATGTGGATGGCTTGGTTGGAGATGCGATACACATTGCCCCAGCCTTCGGCTATATCGTCTGAGAGGCGGAAAGAGGTGGATACGTTCTGAGTCCATTCCGCGGGACCTTCGAGGCCACTGGATGAGGAATATGGAACACCCCACTGGCAAATGAGCATTCCAGGAATCCCAACCTTCTGCAACTCGCTCCACATTGTGCCGAAACGAGTGACAAAGTCAGTTCTTGGATCCTTGGGGGCATTGTTGCTGGCGCTATCAGCGTAGCAGTTGTCATCTAAATCATGCCCTGGTTAGTAAGATGCTATTTGTTTCGGATGTGAAATACTTACATTTCAAATATTCTGTATTCAGCGACTTGAAAAATGCGGCGTCGACGGCTTCGTGACCCAATGATCCAAGCACAGGTGATGGGTACTGGGGATCACACATGCGCACACCGGCGTCTGAATACATAGTCCACTTCATTCCCTTGGACCTGGCCAAGTCGCTCAAAGGCTTAAGTCCATCCGGGAAGGCATCGGAATCAATCTTCAACGCACCCGTGGTAGGGTCACGCTGTGCATCTCGCGAGGCCCAGCCACAATCGATCTGGAAGAATTTGTAGCCAGCATTGACGAAACCACGGCTGGAGAGAGCCTCAATAGCTGTGGTGATGGTCTTGTTGGTGGGGCTGCACGAAACCTGATTATATGAGTTCCAGCCCATAATAGGGGTGGACTGGAAAGATTGACCGGAAGCCAGGGAGGGAATGGCGGCAACCACCAGGATTGAAGGGATGGGCTTCATTGAGGTGATAGACGAGATGATTTGCCACAGGGGCGGAAGGATTATATCCAGAGATGGTGTTCTGAAGGGCCGGTATGGAATTTCAGCACTCCCGAGGCCTGCTATTTATGGTTCAAGAGTTCAGTCACATACATTCAGCAAGTTATACCGGTAGGTTCCATGCATTCTTCCGGCATTAATACTGCAATCGGGCCGTTTTCATTTCTTTGGCAATATAATTAAGCTTGCTGCATGTATCATGGCAGGGTATCTACAACCTTGGCTGAAGATCCCCCGTGGGGAAGGATCACGGGCCGCAGGAACTCGTCTCATTCCGCGATGATCTGCGCCCGGGTCTCGTGGCCTCGAGGAGGCCTATATGTGCGGCTAACTACACATAGACGCTACGGCTCTGACCTGGGGGATCTATTAGTGCGGTTCCCGGCATACTGGCCTGTGAAAGCCTGGTTGAACTTTATACGAGCGCAAGCCCTAGTAATTGGCGCGCTTTTATGACTTGCTTAAATTACAAATGTTTGTCTGTTAGTCGAGTAACTCAACCTCTGACGAAACGGAGTGGAATAATGTCCTGGTATGTGTATGGAGTAAGATGCTGACGTATTCTTGTGGAGTATAGTGTCGTTTTGAGGTAATAGACCTGGCAGCTAACACTTGCGTCGCACGCCTAGTCTCTTTCTCTAATTGCGGTCTTGGGGAATTACAATGTGCAGGTATTGAGAAGAGGTTTTGTTCTTATGAATAAGTATGTTGGCGTGCATCAAGTTTACCCTGGACTTTCACAGATGGTCTAAACGCACTGAAATCTATGTCACGCGCGTCGTGTCGGGATAAGTTTCGGGAGGCAATGAACCACCGCAGGAAGTCATAATCCCGAGCAGGGCTATTTAGCCATGCAAAAAGGGTGCCAGAAAACGTATTGCCAAGGCTCCAGTCCCGGAATACGGCAGCGGACGGGAATAGACACGCGATGACAGGGTCTCCGGCTATCGATGCCGTGGAAAATACCCCAACGGCGCTAGAATGCAGCCTGGAGAAGGAGAAGCTACGTGCTGATAGGTGCGTTTAACACTAGCGCAAATCTAGTCGCGGTTGATCTTTTGAAGCTTATCCCCAAACGGAGTCTCAACCCCGTGGAGTTACCCCCAATACCCCATTCTTGACCCCATCAACTGTCCCCCCCTCATGGCGCTAGAATCGAGTCTGGAGAAAACACAGATAATACGGCCGAGATACCACCGTTTTATCCGCGATGCCAAGCTCTCATAGGCGCGTCTAAGACGAGGATTTATCTCCTTGTCACACTTCATCATTGGATTCTCGGATTGCCTTTTCTCGTGCTGGGAGAGAACCTGCAGATCAACATATAATGAGTCCACGACCGATCCATTTCATCCCATCATTAGCTCTCTGAGACACAACTCTCTCCCCACCCTCATTACCTCTCACTTTCATCTTTGTACCGACAGCCAACATGGGTATCTCTGAGAAGGAGGAGCCAGTCTCGGCTGCTGAGATTGAGACTCAGAAGCATACCATCAACCACCAGGCAGATCTCGATCACAAGGCTGAAATCGCCCAGTTCAAAGGCGATGCCATTGAAGCTGAAAATGCCGAGTTCAACATGGGCGTCCTCGAGGCCGTCCGTGCCTACCCCATGGCCACCCTATGGGCATTCATCATGTCATGCACCATTGTAAGTTCTCTCTCATGGACCCTGGCTAACTCTCCCAAGCTGACAACATCAGATCATGGAGTCGTACTGCGTCTTCCTGATGGGAAACTTCATCGCCCTGCCTAAGTTCGCACAGGACTATGGTGTCTACAGCGCAAATGTCAACAAATATGTCATCACGGGTCCTTGGCAGTCCGCCCTTCAGTGCTGCGGTCCCGTCGGTGCTCTTATTGGCGTGACTATTGCTGGCCCGATTACTAGTCGCATTGGGTACCGCTGGGCCACAATCGGAGGTCTGATGCTTCTCAATGCCTTTATCTTCGTCTTCTTCTTTGCCAATTCGCTTTCTGTTATGGTAGCAGCCCAGGTCCTCGAGGGTATTCCATGGGGTATCTTTATCGCCAATGCCCCCGCGTATTGCAGTGAAATTGTCCCAATGAGACTACGTGCTCCTGCAACCCAGATGTTGCAAATGTTCTGGGCTATCGGTTCCATTATCGTCAACGGCGTCGCGTATCATTACAACGGACTTGAAGAGAAGGCAGCGTACAGGTATGTCCTACACCTCCATACCGTTTGAACTCACAAATGAGGATTCATTCTGACAATATATGTCTTTCAGGGTCCCCATCGCTCTGCAGTGGATGTTTCCAACCCCTCTTGCTATCCTGATCTTCCTCGCCCCTGAATCTCCATGGTGGCTTACCCGTCGCGGCCGATACGAAGATGCCGTTAAGGCTGTCGCCCGCCTTGGTCGCAGCACTGTGGTCAAGAACCACGAGGAGTCTGTGGCCATGATGCGTCGAACTATCGAGCTCGAAAAGTCCGAGAAGGAGCCTAGCTACCTCGAGCTTTTCAAGGGAACCGACCGTTACCGAACCCTGATTGTATGCGGTGTATATGCTGCCCAGAACTTGACTGGCAATCTGATTGCCAACCAGGCCACATATTTCTTCGAGCGTAAGTCTCCTTGCTTCGCTACTCCACTCGACAATAACACGTACTGATGCTTTTGATAGAGGCTGGTATGACCACAAACACTGCTTTTGCCCTCGGACTTATCACCTCTGCCCTGCAGATGATTTTTGTTATGCTGTCCTGGATTCTGACTACCTACATTGGCCGACGCACCATCTACGTCTGGGGCTCATTTATCAACGTCTTGTTCCTCCTTGCCTTGGGTATTGCAGGCAGTGTTGGGAAGAGCAATGCAGCCTCATTGGCCCAGGCCTCCTTGGGTCTTATCGTGTCTGTGCTCTTCACACTTGGCCCAGCTCCTGTTTCATACGCCATTATCGGCGAGACATCAGCCATCCGCCTCAGGCCTCTTACGACAGGTATCGGGCGTGCCAGTTACTACCTGGTTAATATCCCCTGCATCTTCTTGTCGAGCTATATGCTTAACCCCAAGGTATGCCCTTTGTGCCCTTGTCTTCATGTACTTGAGAACTAATGATTTCTATAGGAAGCTAACCTCGGCGGAAGGTGTGGCTACGTCTGGGCTGGAACGGGCTTTGTGTGCTTCCTCATGTCATGGATCTGGCTGCCTGAGTTCAAGGGTCGCTCGTACCGTGAGATTGATATCTTGTTCAACCGTCGCGTCCAGGCTCGCAAGTGGTCCAAGACTGTTATTGACCCCAACGACGATGAGTAGATGCTTTTCAGACAGACAGATAGGCGCCCATGATCTGTATTGATCATCTCGATATAGTGCACTAAATTGAATCATCTTGCTGATTGATAGTTAAAGCTTATGACATCTCAACGAGATATATCAAGCCGTTCCTGTATCCCAAAGCCATTCGACATGGTATCCTAGATCGCTAATATTTAAAGAGTAGTAGTTTTCTCAATTCATGCTATCCATTCGTATTCTGAGACCTCCTGGGCTCCTTTCACCATGGTAACTCTCTTCTAAATCTTTCTTTACTTGCCCTGCTTGATGTTGATTTTAAATGGCAAGTAAATCAAATATGGGCATATTGCAGCTGTCAGTCGCAGCGATATTGGGAAGCACCCTGGGGAGAGCCTGAACACAATCATAAACAGGTAATCTACTGCTCAAGAGAGCATATTGAAGTCTGAAAGAGCGTCCTTCCTTTTTGAACTATTTGAGACGCCGTATAATTCCGTCTTCGGCACATGCTTCATATCAGAGACGGATCACTAGCATCCAAAGTAATCGAGATAGGCGGCGATTCTTCGTGGTCGCTGGTGTTATTTGGCGCGGAACTACCATTGCTTCCGATGGCGTTGGATCCAGCGCACTCCCAGCCGTTATCTAAAGCAGACCCCTCACGATCAAGATTTAATAGCTGGTTACTTCTAGATAGACTACTTGTATTCCCCTGACTTGAATAGAACCAACCTGCTTGACTGGCGCGTATTTGGACCACTCTGAAAGCCAATATGTAAAAGGGTAACAGTCTTTGGCAAGTTATTAAAATAGGCGCCACATATTAGCAAAAAGCGTCATTTGAGCTTGGCGAACAGAGAAGCATTTGAACCCTCTGGAGCAAAACGATCATTTCAAAATCTTATTATCAAGTCTTGCAGATCTCTCGATATCACGTTCAGGCCTCAATATCACCAATTTTGCCCATGATCTTACCAAGGTCTTTATCAGCAGTCCTCCACTCCTCCTCGATGACCTTGGATACCCATGAACCCCTCGGCTTTAGCTTGAATTTGAACTGTTTGGGCTCCGTCATAAACCAGACAACCTCCATCTCCATTTCATCTACGTCTTGGGTAGGCTCAAAGTCAAATGCCCAGATCATCGTTGCGACCTGGGCAAAGGTGCCATCTACAGCAACACGTTTTCCAAGACAGCTTCGCCGACCGTGACCAAATACTGGCAACGGGAGGGAAGTCCTCAGTTCTCCTTGGTTCTTAATGTCTACGCGCATGCTTTCACCATCTAGCCATCTTTCGGGAATGAATTGGTCGAGGTCGCCCAGCGACTGATCAAACACAGCTTCATCACGACCGATAGACCACGCATTTGTCAAGACCATCGCATTCTTGACGATGTTGATACCCTTAAAAGAGTCTTGTTTGTCTGCCCGACGAGGTACACCTCCCGGGGAAATAGGCCGCCAACGCAGAAGCTCAGATACAATAGCGTCAATGTAACAGAGGGAGGATCTGTCCGCGAAGCAAGGGAGTCGATCCCGCCCGACAACAGCATCCAGTACGTCATGCGCTCGTTTTATAAAGCTCCTGTTGGCTGTCATCGCAGCGATGAACAACCAGAGTATTGTACGAGTGCTAGTCTCTATACCACCCTGGACACTCGTCGCAAGTGTGAAAGCGAGGTCAATGTCGGGAATCGACTCCTTGGCGTATTTCGCTGCAAGGGAGCGTGCTTGTTTCGTTGCATTCCATCCGGGACTGTCATCACCGAGGCTTAACAAGTGCAGGTTGAGGTCTTTTTGCTCGTTAAATAATTTATCTGCAGCTCTACGCCACGGTGAAATTGCCGCTGGGAGCTTGGCAAGGAATGGGAAGATATCGGGCAGGCCAGGCCTCGACGCATACGAGGTGACCTTAGCTTGCGTCTCACGGACCCGTTGATAAAGTGGATAATCAAGGGTGGGAACCCGAACGCTATAGTGTAATGCGAGAATAATACTCGCTTGTGCGCGTTCGAGGAAAGGGAACACATCGTCGCTGGTAACGACTACCGCCTTGTGGTCGCTCAGTTCGACGAGGTCCTTGACGAGCTGCTTGGCTTCGAGTTCCATGACGGGCTGATAGCGCGGAGCAGCGACACCACCGAGCGACGGAGACAAGATGCGATGATGAAGCTTTAAATGCGCATCCATGTCATGCATCAACGTGAATCGTGACTGTCCTGGCCCAGCGCCTGTGATCATCTCCATGCCCACGGACCTTGGACGATTGCTGTACCAAGCGCCCCTCTTGCCCAGCAGCTCTGTCGCTGCCTCGGCTGTGTTGATAACAACAACGGGCATTATCCCGAACAGTTTCGACGTTGCGATAGCGCCATTTTCTTTCACCCAAGCATCCCATCGCAGCAGTGGCTTCTCGATTGGGGAGTTGTGGATGTCGCCGATGATGGGTAGTTTGAGGGGCCTCTTCCTGTCTTTCCTAGTTGGCGACGAAAAATAAAAAATTGTTGCACCAGCAACAATACCGAGCACCAAAAGTGAAATTGAAGTAACTGCCATGTTGACCAGTGATCTATGTCTATCCCAAGTTGCCAGCAATGCTCGCCAGCACATTAAACCTCTCACAGGCCAAGACAATCCCCGCACGGGTCTACTTCCAAATTTGGCAATCCTCCGCAAATATCACCATCATGTTGCATTATTTTGTTTAATCCGATAAGACGTGTTACTTCAGTAATCGAGGTATTATTGGGAGACCAATTGATACGTCATCTGGGGCTCTGCAATGAAGCCAAAACAACCAGACCATCACAGATTTCGTTGTTTTAGATCAGCAAAGTCTGAAAAGCTGAGTTGAGGAGATTGTACTGGAGAATTAGTTGTTGTTGGCGCACCACGTTGCATGTGACAGCGCTATGACAGTACATCCGTGATTGTTTCCGAGAAGCTAGGGCCTTGCTGTTGACGCTTGGGTGCATTACCGCTTCACCTGAACTCTGGTGCACGGGCATGCAGCAACTAATCCTACTAAAAAAAATCCTTTATACCTTCTCTTTCTGGAGACATGCTCCACTCTGTTAGTCCTGAGTAGTGACATAAATATGTGTTTGAAACATCCTGGCCGTTGATCATGACAGCTGAACTGACAGTCCTGACTCTCAAGGGAATGAGCCTTCCTGAATGGGTATAGCCATAGAAACTTGTCCGAGCACCGCGTTTCAGAACACGGTTTCTCAGGACATGCATCTAACTATAGCTCAACGCCAACGTCATTTTGGAATGGCAGTCTCTTCGAGCACGTGATATTTTTCAGTCTATTTGACTATTTAAGAATATATATACGTGCTTGATGTCCAACAATCAATCGCAAATAATCTCATAGTCATCTCGTTTCTTCATCGCTCGTTACCTTTTTTAACATGTTTACCGCTTTGTTTCTTTCTGCCCTGGCCTGGAGCCAAATGGCAAATGCCCATGGAACTATTACCAGAGTAATTGGTGCAAATGGTGTTGTCATGCCCGGACTTACAAGTAGGAACATCTCTGGAAACTTGAGCCTGGTTGCTAACAGGTGGCAGTCCTTGATGGAACACCTCGATCTTCTACCTCTGCTGCTTCCGGAGCACAGGTTGATACTAGCGTGATCCGTGACCCCGAACTTGGTACTAGTAAAGCCTCCGCACTTGGTCGCACTAGCAAAGGCCCAGTTGACGGCGCTCGCGTCATTAAGGCTTTCATGCATGGTCTCAAGGGCCGGTCCCTTGCTGACACTATCCTCGGGGGAGGCGAAGAAAGTATAGTGAAATGGCAAGCAACAATAGCTCTTGACAGCTAACACTCTATAGCTACGAGAGAAGCCGTGTCTTTTGTAACTGGCAATGCTGGTGCAGTTGTAAACGGTAGGCTTTTGTTAATATACTTTAACTCGAGTTACTGACCTATTCCAGGCGTGCAAGATGGAATTGAAAGCTCTCCAGTTGGCGGTTTGGCCCTAGGTATGTCGACAGAAGCAGTTCAAAACCGGCATTATATGCTGATCGATAGTAGGGGCTGAGCATGGAGTTAATGGTCTTCTGGATGACTTTTTCCAAACGGCAAAGGGTGTCCCATCTCCTCGTGGATACATCGAAGACGGTGTCCAGAATTCCACTGGAGTTGGTGCCAAGTCTGGGTTGCCAACCACCGCATCCGATGGAACTCTCAAGTTGATCTACCACCAGGTTCGTGACCATGATTCTCATTTGTGATCCATATTGACTTTTTGCCATTCAGGTCAATGAGGACGGTGCTGGCCCCTTGCTAGTAGACATTGACTTCACTTCAGGAGGGACTGATCCGAAAGCTTTTAAATCGGCTGAAGTGGTTCAGAACATCATTGGAGTATTGGGCTTTTCGACCGTGAGCTCGACTGACTTTCCCGTTGTTGTCAAAGTGCCTACTGGTCAAATTTGCACTGGAAAGGTAGCTGGCGTTTCTGGTATCTGTATTGCAAGGGTGCGAAACAGCGCTACTGCTGGCCCCTTTGGAGGCGCTGCTGCATTCACTCATAACCCAGAGGCTGCAAAGGGGAAGGCGTCCAGCGCAAAATTTCGCCACCGCCATGTCTGATTGACGGGTTCGCGCATGCTGGGACTACCTTGCGTCATGTTGTGACCAGTTCCTGAAATTGGTTGGAAATAACTCGGGCAACCTAAAACCATACCTTTCTCGCTATTTCCTATACAATAGCAATATCTTAATACATGCCTATATCTTTTAGTCCTATAACGTCTATACGGGTAGTTGAACCCATATTTAAAATAAATATTAAAGTAAGAGCATAAGCGCTCTGATTGTAGTTGGTGTCCTTCTGCAAGTTGCGATTGATGGTGATGTTGCTTGGCTTAGAATTAAATGATATAGGGTGGCGGGCCTCGCCCGCATCTTATCTTATCTTATCAGCCGCCAGCCAACGGCGGAATGAGCTAACAAATTCCCCGCATATATCCGTAGTGTCGTCAGGTCAACCGAAAAGAATACATCTGCCAAGTTTATTCACCATCTTGGATCTCCACCCACAAGTTAACATTGCATCGCAATCTTTAATCGCAGCGCAACCTATTCCGGCATGCGCGTCGACGCCATTCGCGCATGGATCGATTCCGTTGATTCTTCGAGCCCGTTATACTTCTGCGGGCAAATTTCCTTAGCAAATACAACTAAGAAAAGAAGGCTCAGCGACAATTCAATGGAGAGCCCTTCAAAATGGAAGCGCAGGGAACAGCCCGAAGCAGAAACACCTTTTGACCCCGACAAAACACCATAATCATCATCTACTCTCCCAGTGAACTCTATCTTCGATCATCCGCCACCGTCATTCTATGTCACTGGCTCTACTATCGACTCATTTCTTCGCACTCTTGCGGCCCGTCCGCATTTCCCCAAGACAACAGCGTCAAAGTCTCAACGAAGTCCCTTACGCCCAAGCAATAAAAGAAACGAAGCGACCTGCATCGCTTAAATCGCCCGATTCGGTTCAGTCTTGAGCCTGATCTGAAAGCAGCTCTTCCTCCCGATGCACACGATCTGTACAAGGCGTTGCACGATGTGCAGTGGGGCACGACATTCTTCCGCATGCTCTGAAGGATAGGGAAGGGATTGAGATCCCCGGTGTCCACCGAAGCATGTGGCAGTCCCCTTGCCCAAATGTAGACAACGATGCCCCTATCGATATTTCACAGCTGCTTTCCCTCCCGCACAAACTGAAGACCCCTGTCTAATCTGCCCAGCTTGACGAACCAGTAATCTGAGAGGTAGTTGGTTCGAGGCTGCCAGGGTGCTTGGGCTGCGGCTCTTGGGAGCTCGCTCTCTGCCGTGGTGACGTACGTCGACGAGAGGCTAAACAGACGCCTTGGCGTCAGGGCGAGGCCCTGTTCAGCTCGAGGCGTGGCGCTTGACAGCTTGGCCTTTTGCATCTTCTGCAGTAGACGGCACACGAGCATGGCGGCGGTATCAACACCAAGAGTCCATGAGATAGTGGTGTAGCCGATGACAAGGGACAGATTTGGCACATCCTGCAGCATGGTTCCGTTCCAAAAGTACTGCTCAGAGGGTTTGATAGGGACGCCGTCGACGTCAATGGTGGCGCCACCTGCGAGTTGCAACTTGAGGCCAGTCGCCGTGATGATTATAGCAGCGGGGATCCTGTCTTGGGGCGCATTCTCAAGCACGATGCCGTCGGCAACTACCTCTTTGATGTTGCCCGTCTTGACGTCAGCTTTGCCCGTGTGCAGACACTTGAAGAAGTCGGCATTGGGGGTCAGGCAAACACGCTGATCCCAAGGGTTGTAGCGTGGGCTAAAGTGTGGATCGTAGGGCAGATGGTGCGGCAACTCCTTCTCGACGCCGTTCCGGAGCCGCTGACGGGCCCGATCCGGAAACGTTTGACAAAAGAGCCAGATCAGGCGGGACCATATCAGGAACGACAGGCGGGTGTAAGCATGAGCCCACCGCGCAGGGAACAGCCGCACAAGCCATGGCGCCTTTTTGCCGCCGTTGGGGATGGACAAGATATACGACGGGCTCCGCTGCACCATGGTAGTTCGAGCCGCCTTCTCGGCGAGTTTGGGGATCAGCGTGATGGCCGTGGCGCCGCTGCCGATCACCGCTACCTGCTTGTTGGTGTAGTCCAGATCCTCGGGCCAAAACTGGGGGTGCACTACCTGGCCCTTGAAGTTTTCTAGGCCGGGGATGGCCGTGTCACGGCCGTTGTGATAGTCGTAGTAGCCAGTGCAGAGCATGACGAACCGGGCATGATACTGAAGCTCCTTTTGTGCGCCAATGTCTTCTACCTCAAGGGTCCATTTCTGCTGGGGTGTAGACCATGAGGTATGTTTCAGTCGCCGTTGGCAGTGAACATGCCTGTCGATTCCGTAAGTCTGCGCACATTTCTTCATGTAGTTAAGGATAGCACCGCCCTCACCCAGCGCGGTGCCCTGATCCCACGGCTGCCATGCGAAGCCAAAGGTGTATAGATCAGAGTCCGAGCGGATGCCTGGATAGCGAAAAAGGTCCCATGTGCCGCCGATATCATCACGGGCCTCGAGTATGGCGTAGCTGAGGTTCGGCAAGGCAATTTGGAGGCGGTACGCCGCGTTAATACCGGCCAAGCCAGCACCGACAATTATGACGTCGAATGTATCCATTTTGGTTCTATTTCTGGAGGTCTATCATGATGCCGATTGAGGGTCTTTTGTTCCCTTAACGTGCTGTATCTCATCATGAAGACGGAACAGGTTGGCTCGTAGGAACGGAATTCAGATGTGCAATTGAGTCCAAATCCGCCATGCTCGGTGGATTAATTTTGTGCCTTCTCGGCGATTTTTGGATTTGTGGGTCAGATCCAAGAAACTCACCGAATTGGACGCTCATACGATATAATCATCTCAGACCGTCGCATGGATACTATTCCTGCTGCGACGTTTAATACCCGCGCCTTGGAAGGATTCGAGTTGCATGCGGTATACAATTTCCCTAAACGGGAACATCGAGGACTGAGGCAGATGTCCAAAGTGATGCCTCAATAAGAGCCACATTATAGCTACGTATTTTCCATCAGGCCATGTATGAGGTTACAGTGAGCTCCACGCGAGGGCTTAACAACTGCTGACAGACTCCCGATTTCCAGTTGGCCGGCCGTAGTCAAACCACCACAGCTCTCAAATGGCTTCTATTAGGCTACGGTTAGAAGGTACTAATATAAAGAAGCTAAAGTCTTAGCTAATAAGTATGAATCTTTTATAAAATATTACTAGGTTTAGCCTTTTTATAGCAGAAGAATTTGTCTTAAACATCAGCATCATTATAATAAAAAGCTTTCCCATGTAGTATTTTGCGTTATAAAATAAATCAAATTATGAAGATATGAATAAATTTGATCTTGTTACAAAGTTTCATTAGATGATAGATATAAGAAGGCAGAATTCCGTGATGAAATAATTAACCAGTAACTTCTCTCGCCAAAGGCAGAGGCCAACCATAGCTACTGCGTCAGAAAGGAGGACTGCAAATGAATATTGCCTTCGAGTGAATCAAGGAAATCTTAATGCACTAACATACACATCGAGCAAGAGCATAGAAAAATTGATCAATTATATCTTTGAAGTAAAGAATACAAACTATCACTGTCCATCTGCCAGGGAGCTTTCCACCAAAGTACTCTTCTCTGCAACTCTAAAGGCAAGCGTCTGCAGACTATTCGTCTGCAAAATCTCAAATACGGCAATATCAGCCTTCATGTGTTTCTGGAACCAGTTTCGGAGCTCGACAGCCACCAAGCTGTCTATTCCAAATGCACTGGTTGGGCGGGTCGGGTCCAGCTCTGCGACGTCCATCATCAGACTGCGGCTGAGCTTGATTGTCATTGCGTCGATGATGACCGTCACAGCATCAGTTAGTAAGAGGGCTCCCTTGAGGAGAGACTGAATGGACTGCTCGCCCGCATTATTGGACTGACCGGAAGAGCGGGCGCCCAATTTCGGGAGGTGAGAGAAGACTGGGCTAGATTTCCAGAAGGGTTCGTCAACGGGAACGCCGTCGTCACCTGGAACGGTGGATTGTGTCTGGATGCCAGTAATCATCTGACTGGTAGCTGATGAAGAGGATGACTCTCGAATGGAAGTCTCGAGGATGGCAAGGAACTCATCCTCCTCAATACCCACGAATCCTTTGCTCTCTAGATTGTTGCGGATCATTCCCGTAGAATCCTGAGCCACGGCTCCCACAGACAAGATCATACCCAGATCAACCGAGATGGCAGGGAGTCCTTGCGAGCGGCGGTACTGTGCGAGAGCATCCTCGTACGCGTTACCGGCTGAGTAGTTGGCCTGACCGGAGTTACCAAGAACACCGACTGAAGACGCCATGATGACGAAGAAGTCTAGCGGTTGGTTCAACGTAGACTGGTGCAGATTCCAAGTTCCTTGAACCTTGGGCCTAATGCCGTTGTTGAACGACTTGAGAGACATGTTGTCGAAGATGGCATCGTCCAGAACCATGGCAGCTTGAACAACACCACGGAGAGGTGGGAAACTATCGGCAATGCCTCTTATGGCGGCATCTAGTGCTGGTCCATTGGTGATGTCAACCGGCAGAGCCTTAACTCGCGTGCCAACCTCAGCAAGTTCATCAATGAGCTCGCGCACTTCAGGGCGGCTGTCTCCAGAACGCGAAGCAAAGATGAGGTTCTTGGCACCTCGCGAAGCCATCCAGCGTGCCATACTGCGACCGAGACCGCCAAATCCAGTAATGAGATATGACGCGTCCTCCTTGAAGGTGAAGGGACCCGATGATGCTGGGATAGCCTAGTAGAAATTATTAGACAAGCAGGAATGGCATTGCAAAGTGAAACTTACTGGGACCATGTCGTTCTCTTCAGGCACCATAACAATCTTACCGACATGCTTGCCTTGCTGCATGAAACGAAAGGCCTCCTCAAATTGGGAGAATGAGAAGATCTTGATGCGGGGAATAGGTTTGATGGCCTTGGTTCGGATGAGGTCCATCGTCTCATGGAGAAGCTCACCTGCCAACGAGATGTTCTGCTCATAGACGGTGATGAGATCGATAGAGGCAAACATGACATTACGCAGGAACGGCGCCATATCGAGACGACGGTTGTCTATCATATCCTTCTTGCCTATCTCGATGAAGCGGCCAAATGTAGCAATGCAGTCCCATGTAGCACTCAGCATCTCTCCCGCCAAGCTGTTGAGCACGACATCAACGCCGCGGCCGTTGGTTGCCTTCTTGATGTCTTGCGCAAAGCTAATGCCACGACTAGAAAAGATACGCTCGTCAGGGATTCCAAACTCGCTCTTCATGAGGTCTCGCTTGTCTTGAGTTCCAACCGTTACAAAAATATTCGCCCCAAGACGTTGGGCTAGAGTTATAGCCGCTTGACCAACACCTCCAGCAGCTGCGTGGATGAGGATCGACTCGCCCTTGCGGAGACGAGCCATGTGTTGTAACCCATAGATGACGGTGTTGTATACGATAGGCAAGGAGGCCGCGGTGGCGTAGCTCATGTCGTCAGGGATTGGTTCGACAACGCAAGCGGGAGTACGAGCATAGTTGGAGTAGTTATATCGAGTCCACGCTACCACACGCTGACCGACCTTGACATTAGAGACATTGTCTCCGACGCGGTGGACAATGCCAGCACACTCAAGTCCAAGCGAAGGGTCAGACATCTGTCCCGTGCAGATCATGATATCGCGGAAGTTGATGCCGGACGCCTTGACTTCAACTTCAACCTCGTCAGTGCCAAGGGGTTCGGCTGGTAGAGGATCGTCTTCGAAGCGCAGCGTATCCAGAAGACCAGGCGTCTTGATGCTCAACTTCAAGGACCTACCGGGCTGGTAGAAGGGCTGCAACTCTGTCTTATCGCTGACAGCCGATTCATGGTGCAGGCAGCCATGGATCTGAGCGCTGGAATCAACAGACTCGAGGCAGCGGCAGACTTTCCAAGAGCCATCTTCATAGTGATACTCGGGCTCCTGAGTTCCGGGGTTCCGCAGGACTTGCTTCAACAGCTCAAGCAATTGTTGTGCAGTTTCTGAAGGGTTCTTGCGATTGATGGACGCAAAGTCCGCCGTGGTCAACGGGAAGGTCTCGTTCTCAGCCCGGAGTGAGCGAGCAAGACCGTGGAAGAGGGCCGACTCTGGACGGCTTGCGTTGTTGAATGCTCCTTCGGTCACCCAGAGCAAAGCACGGCTAGACTTGAAGATAGTCTTGATGCCTTCAAACTCGGCCAATGTCATATCCTTGATGACGGAGCGGTTGACCTCAGCCAGAGACACGCAACAAGTGTTCTCGAGGGGTGTGTCTGCAGCTTCGGCAAGTCGAGTCCTACGAACTGGAACACCCAGCTTCGAAAATTTCTCGTCAATACACTGCTCCAAATCACTAGGTGCGCCGTCATCGACGATCAGTACTACCGAGGAAATAGATGGGTCGACGGATGGCGGGGCAGGCTGCTCAACAGCAACACAAGAGAAGACCCGGCCCAGCTCGTCCTTGGGGTCCTCACTATCTGGTGCAGCGAGAGTCAGGTCACTGAACCCAACACGCTTGAGGTGCTCTGCCCACATATCCTGATCCATAGTAGGACCCCAAGGGCGGTAGCTCTCCTCAGACATCCACCAGCCGGGCAGGCAGCCAAACAAGAGGAAGGCCTGGTTGAGTATATTGGAGATCTCAACCAAGATGAGACGACCACCCGGCTTAAGCAGCTTTCGCGTGTTCTCCAGAGTCCGAGTGATGTTGGCCGTAGCGTGTAACACCGAAGCTGCAACGACAAGATCGTATTTGCCAGCCTCGAAACCCTGATCAACAGGGTCTTCTTCAATGTTGAGTCGTCTATACTCAACAAGGCCCTCCCAGTCCTTGAACTTGGTCTCGGCTTCCTCGAAGAAGCCCGAAGAGATATCGGTGAAAGTGTACGAGGTAAACTTGGGGTACTTCCCGTTATTTCCGCCGAAAGCTGACAAGATTGGGGCCGTAGCACCACCAGTACCGCCACCAATTTCCAGAACTTGCATATTAGGGTTCTTGTTGGCAAGGATTTCGGCGTAGTGGTAAATGATGTCGTAGCCCATGACAGACTCGTAGTACTTGTACAGAAGCTCGTCTTCCAGCATCAGCGCAAGCGGGTCGACGACGCCGGTGAGGATCTTGTCGAGCTTTCGGCCCACTCGGCAGATGAGCTGAGCGTCGGTACCAGAGGGTTCCAGACGGACAGCCAGATTCTCCATCTTCTGGCTGATGACTGGGTCATCAAGTTGCTCCCACTCAGGTGTCTGGTGAGGGCTCTTGTGAGCCAAAACGAGGTCGCTCTGGTACTGCATGAATCGGAAGAACTTCTGGTGGTGAGGCTTCATGCTGGGAACCTGGTCTTCAGTAACAGTCTGCAGAACCCGGTAGTAGTAGTAGTAGGCGATCGACTCGAGGTTAGCCACTCGCTGAGGGTCTTCAGGGACAGGAATAAAAGAACGCATTAACTCGTCACCCTTGTCCTGGGATAGAAGCTCTGGATCCGGGTGCCACGTGGAGTGGAAGCACAGCTTCTTGATAGCTTCTCGACCCGATAGACCGTCATTGGCATTCTCTCCAGAGTCAACTCCGCTGCACTTGACGTCCTTAAAGCTGACCACCGCGTCGCCGGTGCCCTCGTCGCGGACAAGAACATTGGTCGTGACCTCTCGGAAGCCGGTGTATCCCGCAGTTGCGATGCAGTCAAACCGATGGCCAGCAGCTTGAGCAATATCGCCTCGTACAAAAGTGTCGGCGAAGAAGACTGGTAGATACGGAGACGCGATGGAAGTCTGGGCATGTAGCAACGCGGGGAACACCATCTGGACAAACCCGTCCATAGTGGCAGGGTGGACGAGATAAGGATACTCAAACTCAAAAGGCATCAGGGACTTGGTATCAGGCACAGTGACGACCCCCTTTGCTGTGCCCTCGTTGGACACGAGGTCTCCAGTCAAGTTCCGGAATGGTTCTTCGTACACCAAACCCACAGCATCGATGATGTCATACAAGTTCTCAGCTGTGCGGGTTCCCGCAAAGTTCTCCAAGCCCACTGCAACATCCATCGTGGGGTTGAAGGGAATATGGTTTGAATGAGCCGTGTTCGGGGCATCATAGACGGAAGTAATCATACCGTGAGCGTGTTCAGCCCACCCATCAGCGGCAGACCAAGAAAAGACACGGAACTCATACCAAGTGTTGGAGTAAGAAGCTGTACTTTCCTTGTAGTGACGCAGAGAGAACAGCGTCTCAACTCCCTCTTCACTTGCTGGAACCATCAGAGCGCGAATCAGCTTGACATCTTTCAGCCGGTATCCAACAAAGTCACCCTGAGGTGCTGTATACTCAGGCATTTGTCGCAGATGATGCATCGCCTCGAGAGCCATGCACATGTAGGCTGTACCAGGGTAGACATATGAGCCCTGCACGATATGACCCTTCAGCCAGGGCTGCTCGCGGAGACGAATGAGATTGCGCCAGCGTGGCTCCATAGGGTTCCAGTCATTGACAGGATATCCCAAGAAGTCAGTGCGAGCATGACGGCGGAAGCGATGTTCGATACTCAACCGCGACTCCATCCAGTGGCTCTTGGTGTGGTTCCAGAAGTATGGAGGCAGATCAACGAGCACACGCGGCTGTGCTGTATGTGACCCAGCGGGGGAGTTGACCTTGTAGAGGTCAATAGTCGTACATCCCTTGGCAAAGAGGAATGCCGCAGCCTCAAGAGCAGTCGCGCAAGCATCCTGTCCCCTAGATAGCACAGACTTGTATACAATGCCGCTCTTCTCCAAGCCGGGAACGCCCAGAATTTGCTTGATTGGACCTGCCAGGGCAGCGTGAGGGCCGACTTCTACCAAGACGTCTACAGATGCTTGATTGGCGGCAAGACGACGAGCACGCTTGGCAGTGGCACGGGGAGCACAGAGAGCCTGCAGACCAGTGTTGAAGCGGACGGGAGACACCATGTTCTCCCTCCAGTACTTAGGGCCAAGGATGTCAGAGGACTTCAATAGCTCTCCAGTAACGGCCGAGACCATCTCAATAGTTTCCGAGGGTGTATTGACCTCCATACCAGCCAGAGAGTGCTCGTAATCGCTAGCAACAGCATCCATGTGGTGGGAATGATACGCCGTCGAGACCTTGAGTAACCGCGCAAAGACGGAATCCTTCTGGAGAGCTTCTGCCAGAGCGGCTAGGGCAGATCGATCACCCGAGACAGTGACATTGGTAGGGCTGTTGATGCAGGCGACGGATGCCTTCCCGAGCTCCGGAGCAAGGGCACTGATGTAATTGTTGGCATCTTCCTCAGCAAGACCAACAGCCATCATGGCGCCATCAGCTGACGGTAGCTTTTCTTGCACACGAGAAGAGTGCAGACCGCGGAAGTAGGCCGCCTTGAGGGCTGATTCCGTTGGCAAGATACCTGAAGCATAAGCGGCGGCGATCTCACCACTCGAGTGGCCTATGACCTTCTGGGGACGAATACCCCAGCTGGCGAGCAGGTCAACCAAGGCAAGCTGGAGGGCCGTGCAAGCGGTCTGGCTAACGAGGGACTCGTTAATGCGAGATGTCTCCTCATCCTTGTTCAGTTCATCTATGCCAGTTAGTATCGGCCCCAAAGATCCACGACCCAGAGTTACTTACCAATGAGAGACCATTTGGCTCCAAGACTCTTGACAAACCGGTCAGAATATTCCAGCCGCTGTTGGAAGAGGGGGTACGTCTGTATCAACTCTCGACCCATGGCGAACCACTGCGCGCCCTGGCCTGTAAAGACAAAGCCGATCTTGAGCGGGTTGATGGATGCGCGCACCGGCTTCTGGCGCGTCGCGGCCACCTTCTCAGCCAAGTCGGGTAGAGACTGAGCCACCAGGAACGACTTCCAGGGCAACATGGAACGACGGCTGCAGAGTGTGTACGAGAGGTTGTCGAGGAAGGCTTCCTCGTCTGCCTCCTTGCGGTGGGCCAGATGCTCAGCATATACGGCCGCGCTTTTTCCAGCAATGTTCTCTTCATGAGTAGACCAGATGAACACGCGGTGGCGCTTTGCAGGGGAGAGAGAGTGACCATTGGAGTGGCCGTTGGTATAGCCGTTAGTAGGGCCATTAGTATGGCCGTTTGTATGCCCATTGACACCGTTGCCATTAGACAAGACGGGACCAATCGCGTTGCTCATTGCAATACCAGTTTGCAAGTCCAGCAGTGGCCTAGGGGCCGTTCGGTGAGCACCCTTCAGACCACGCCCATTCAGATAATGAAACGCATCATCAAGAATGACGTGTCCGTTTGTTCCACCAAATCCAAACGAGTTGACACTAATTCGACGTTGCCCCTTGGTTGGCCAGGCTATCGCCTTGGTGGGGACTCGCAGGTTCCAGCCTTCAAGGTCAATCTGCGGATTGGGGGTCTCAAAGTACACGTTGGGAGCAATAGCGCCACGTTCGAGAGACAAGACAGCCTTGATGACACCGGCAAGGCCACTTGTACCTTCAGTGTGGCCGACATTTGTCTTGACACTACCAATATAAAGTGGAAGCTTGCAGCCATTCTCGTCCACAGGGCGGTGGGGGCCAAAGGTGCTACCGATGGCTCCAGATCTAACATAGGTTAGTAGAGTTAGACATTGTTTCTGCATAATGGGCTTACTCAAGGGGATCTCCGGCTTGTGTTCCAGTGCCGTGAGCCTCGAAATAGGCCGTGGTAGCAAAATCACAACCTGAATCCCTGTACGCCGTCTTGATAAGCTCCTCTTGAGCCTCTCGCGAAGGCAACATGATACCTGAGGTCTTCCCATCCTGGTTGCAGGCAGTGCCTCGAATAACAGCACGAATGGTATCATTGTCACGGATGGCATCAGCCAAGGGCTTGAGAATCAAACAAGCAATACCCTCACCACGGGAGTAGCCGTTGGCACGAGCATCGAAACTGTAGCATCGTGAGTCGGGGCTGAAGAAATGCATGTTGGACATGGCTGTGATGATGTCCGGGTTAAGAATCAGGTTCGTGGCACCGACGATGGAGCAATGGCTCTCTCCTGAACGCAAGCTCTGACAGGCCAGATGTAGGGCGACCAGACTACTACTACAGGCTGTGTCCAGGGTCAGACTGGGGCCCTTGAGATCATAGAAGTAGCTGATACGGTTAGAAAGAATAGCAGCTCCGTTACCCGTCACCGAGTACAGAGGTGCTGTTTCTGGATCTCGATCGATAATCTCATAGTAGTCTCGAGAGAAGCTTCCCACGTAGCAGCTCGTGTCGGAGCCAGCCATGTCCTCCATACTCATTCCACCACTCTCCATGGCCTCATACACCGTCTCCATAAGAATGCGTTGTTGAGGGTCAATGCTCTTTGCTTCTGTGGGAGGGATGGAGAAGAACGATGCATCAAAGGCGGCAACGTCTTGCTTGAGGAAGTGTCCTCCCTTTGCGTTTGTCTAGAATTACTTTATCAGTATCAAAGCTCTTAAAAATGTGGCAAGGACAAAAGATCATACGTTTCCTCCTCGTTCGCCATCAGGATGCCAGAAAGAATCAATGTTCATACGCTCCTTGGGAACTTCGCTCCAGGCGGCTTTCCTCTCGGCACATAGTTCCCATAGCTTGTCTGGGTTGGTGGCCTCGCCGGGTAGTTTACAAGCCATGCCCACAATGGCGATAGGCATGGACTTGTCTTGCTGCAAGACAGCCTGGACGAGAGGCTCTGGCATTGCGTCGCCATTGTTTATGATATCTTTGGTGTATGCCGACATTTTGACGACGGGGAGAAACTTAGGGGAAGACTTAGCACAAAAGTCAAGGGAGGACTTGTGAGGTATCTTAGGAGAAAGACTAGGAGAATAGTGAGAGAAGTGAGGAGTGCAGTTGTCTTCTCACAGCGAACCGGGCGTTTTTGGTATATGACATTCTTTCCAGACGCACCACACTCAAGAACGCGATGTCTCTACAAGGTGGCAAGTCCCAACAACCAAACGTATCTCCGATAGAGACCGCCGAGATGGCTAGGCCGTAAGCAGTGGTGGGTAAAAGTCGTAAGGCGTCAAGCGGAGGAATGGTGAACCAGGTTCGGATTCCTGCGCCTCGTTTCAACTCCCCAGCTGCGTTCACAGATCGCGCAATCCTCCCGGCGTAGCCACATTCCGTAACAAGAAGCAGAAATTATCCCGTCTCGCGCCTAGATCCACAGCTAGCTTATCGCCATGATGCATGTCAGATCAAGGTAGTGTTTGTCAGCTCACGCCACATCTCGGCGGGTTCCAACAGCAACGCCCATTCGCTCGGTGAGTTTCCAACGGCGCGAATCACCCGCCGTGACACGGTAGCCGAGATTCCTAATCATTGTGGTAAGGCCGAGATGGCGAAGCGGAATCGTCATCTGAGAACAAGCTCTTACACCACGTGGCTAGACGTGACGGAGAGGTTACCTGACGACTTCCAACACAACAACAACCTACGTCGACCAGAACTCACCTCTCCCAGATTTCAGCCCTACAGCCAAAGCAAACTCTGTCAAACCCACTCGTCAAGATGAGGTTTCTTTGCTTGCATGGTGCCGGCACTAACTCAGATGTACGTCGTATTCTGAATTCTCTGCATGTCCCTCACTGACTGGTCTATCTGTAAATCAGGTCCTTGACATTCAAACTGGTAATTTAAATCCTCTGTATTAACGGGACATTATGTAACACAAGATCCAGGACCAATCCGTGATTCGCTCGACAGCAACGCCACGTTTAAGTTCTATGATGGGTTTTGTGACGTAGAACCAGTGGAAGGTAACTCGCCTTCTCAACTCCATAATGCCCCTTCATGCTTAACCTGGTGGATCAGAGATCAAAAACATATTTGCCGGTCCCTTCTACACTTGGTACTCTCCTGGCCTCGGCGGTCGCACTCTCACAGAAGCCAAAGCCGAACTGCTCGATCTCATAGCGACTGAGGGACCATTCGACGCCTGCATGGGCTTCTCACAGGGCGCAGCCCTCCTTGCAGCTGTCATCATCGATCATCAGGTACAGAACCCATTCGGGCCCAACCTATTCAAATTTGCCGCGTTCATCTGTGGTGGGAGTCCCCTGCTTGTTACCAAGGCGCTAGAGCAGGACCATCTTGACTACCAGCCAACTGTAGATAGAATGGCCCCATTGACGGAGCCTTGGCTGGGTCCATATGTACCGGGCCACGAGCCACATCCTGACGAACAGTGGAACATGCTCGTGGCCCACAGAGTAAGGGAGGCTGGCTTAACTATTCGGATTCCCACAGCGCACATCTATGGGGCTAAGGATCACACCGTCAAGGAAAGCCTGAACTTGAGGGACATGTGTGATCCCAGGAGGAGAGTTGAGTTTGATCATGGAGGAAGACACGAGGTACCCAGAGCCACTAGAGTTGTTCAGCAGATGGCAATGACGTTGAGGAGAGGAATTGATAAGGCCATGACCGCTGTATAGTAACCAAGTAGTCGATGTGCTTTTGAATATCAAGCTATTTCTTAAGAGGTTTGATTTGTAGCACCTCTTTAGGATTAGAATGTCACTTTTTGTTATGTAGAACCCTTTGCTCATTGTATGTTGAAACGGATTAGTGAAATTCGATCAAGCATCTCGGCTGTTCTCCTCCTGGATCTCAGTCTAAAGTTTCTACCATACCCCTATCAAATTGATAATCTTCGCGCCCTCATATTAGATGTTTGTCTTGTACTCATTAATCCTATCCTATTCCCGTGTTTCTCGCACATCCCTCATCCTAGTTCTCAACCTTTTACTTGTCAACCACAAACCCGAAGCTGCCACAACGCCCAGTCCAGCAAAAGCCAAGAGAGCTCGGCATTGCGTATCATAACTTATACCATACGCTTTCCTTACTTGCAGTGCTTCCAAATCACTGAGTTCATCGATGGCTGCTGAAGAACTGAGCACAGCTGCAATTTGCTTGGGAGTGAGGAAAGTGGCCAGTTGTCTGTTGAGGTCCGTGTGCAGCACAGTTGAACAGACAGCTAAGGCAACACAGCCTCCAAGGGTTCGAACCGTGTTATTTGCGCCCATCACAGCAGCTAATGTTATCAGAAACATTGTAAAATAGCAGATCAACGGGAGGACCAACCTAAGTTTCCATCGCCAAACTCAACCTTCAGCAAGAAGATTAATGACGGCATCATAAGGCCCAGTCCCACACCAAGGATGACTTCATACACATATACTGAATTGGATACGGGCCCCGAATCTGGCAAACTGCTTAACAAACCCATACCTACTGTAGTTAAAGCCGCCCCCGTGAACAACAGGATGTATACAGCCAGAGGTTTCTTAGACAATGCTACGCCGCATGCCATAGAAGAGACTGGTGATACTAGCGTAAACGCAAGCATTTTGAGGCCAGCACTCAGTGCTGAAAGCCCATTGACAGACTGAAATCGTTGGGGAAGTAGTATGATGGCTGCGTAGAAGCATGCGCCCATAGCGAACATGTTTCTATTCGTGGCGTGTCAGCTGGCCCAGGTGCAGTTGCCTCACGGAGGTACCTCTAGGACGATGAAGACTTACATTAGGTTGAGTGACAATCTCAAACTCCGTAGTAATCGAATGGGAAATATCGGCTCTGGGTTCGATTGTCGCTGAACCCACACCTCATACGCAACGAAGGAAACGAGTCCAACGACGCTACCTACGAGCGTCCCAATAATGACGCTACTATTCCAGTCATACCCATCGCCCGCCTCCTGTAGTGCAAATACCAGCAGGATCGGCCAGGCCAAAGAAAGAAAACCTCCAATGGCGTCAACGCGCTGTATCTGGTCCTTGCCGAAGAGTCTGTGGTTTGCACCAGGAATGGCAGGGATGACAAATGCCAGAGAAATGGCGATTCCCGGGCCACTGCCCGTGTTAGTATCACATGCCTCTGACTCGATCAATCTCTTCTATGAGGGTATGACTTACTTTATAAAGAACACCCATCGCCAGGTTGTGTTTTCAACAATAGCTCCGCCAAGGATCGGCCCCAGAAGACTGGCCAACGCAAATACTGAGCTGAGTATCCCCGTGTACATACCCACTTTCTCAACTGTGACGATCTTGGCGATGATGATAAAGACGGTCGAGTAGATGCCAGAGCCTCCAAGCCCTTGAAAGGCACGGAAAACAATCCTGATAGACATCATGGTAGTCAGCAAAAGCTGTACACTTAAAGGCAAGAGGATGAGCGACAGACGGAAGACTCACAGCTGGTGCATCGTCTGGGCTGCGCCGCAAGCCAACGAAGATATTAGAAAGATGACTTGAGCGACGATGAGTAGCGTCTTCTGGCCAAAGACATCGGTCAATTTGGAGAACAAAAGTAAGAATCCTGTAATTACAATAATCAGTATTACACTTTCATTAACATCTGTAGTGTCTGTTTTACCATTGTAAGTGAGAAGGTAGGCCACAACCACCCAGTTAGACTGTGTCAGGCCGTCGAGATCATCAGAAATGGTGCGTAATGCTGTTGCAACAATGGTGGTCTCTAGAGCAGACAGAAAGAGGCATATCCAGAGCCTATCGCATATCAGAAAAGCCTCACAGAACCTGTCAAGGTAAGACAGGGATCATACCCAAGGACGCCCAAGGCCATTCGCAGCGAACTAATGCTGGAGCGATTGAGCTGGACCGGCTGCTCTGTCGCTGGCGCCAGATGGGTTTCTGAAGATGGTGCCATTATTGCCGTTGCAGTTAGTGGCAGGATCAAGCCAAGCCATTATCTTTTGTCGCGAGAAGGGGTTCGTGGGTACGGTATGCCGAACTCCGAAATCCGTGCCGGTCCACAGGACTGTTGGCTCCTCCAACTGATGGTAAGCAAAACCCGCCGAGGATGCGCTGATACCCATTCTTTCCTCCGAAATGGGATGATCGTGTATTCTGTACTCATTGGGTTGGCTATGCAGTTATCAAGACTAAAAAATGATCAAGGCTGCTATTATGGTGGTTCACCAGCTCAAACCTCATCATGACAGACAAGAAACCCATTCGTGTTGCCATCATTGGCGCCGGCCCAGGTGGTCTCGTACTCGCGCAGATACTTCGACAAGACCCTCGCTTTAGTGTGACTGTCTACGAGCGCGGCGTGCGTGATGGTAGCGGCGTAAGTTCGTTGGTTGGTTTCCGTATCCTTCTTCCACCCTCTATCCTCGATGATTTGCGCAGCCAGCTTCCTGTATCTGTAGCGACTCTTATCGATGACGCCATTGGCGTTCCACAAGCCCAGGGAAATCGCGTGGCGTTTATGGATGAGCAATGCGGGCTCATCTGTCGCCTGGATGTGCAGCAGTCCAGGGACATGTGCTCTGTATCAAGGTGGAAGTTGAGGGAGGCTCTGCTGCACGGCGCAGAAGAGATTGTCCAATTCGGCAAACAGTTTTCATCTTATGAGCAACTAGGTGGAGAGTCGGGCGACGTAAAGGTGCGCTTTGCAGATGGGGATGAGATAGAATGCGATGTCCTAGTCGGAGCCGACGGCGCCGGTTCAAAAGTGCGGAAACTGTTACTACCAAACAGCCAAAGGAGTGCCAGTGGCCTTACTGTTGTCTACTTCAAAGCACCATTTACTCCGGAGACCGAAGCCATGATTCCTTGGAAGTCTGGATGTGTGGTAGGTTTACACTATTCGCTTGTAGCTGAATGCGACTCCTAACATCCAGCTAGGCAATTACACCCAGGCGTTCCATGGTGGTGGCTTACTACAAAGATCGCCGGAGACCATATGGACCCTATGACTTGGAAAAGATCGACCCTGCCGACTCGTTTCTCATGTTTGGGTTGGGCTGCTACACCAACGAGTTCGTGAACCAGAGCAAGCATCCTGACGAGATGACTCCCGAGGAGCTGAAGGATGAGTGTTTGGCCAGAGCCAAGGATTGGAGTCCGCTTCTTAGGGCTCTTATTGCGCTGAGTGTGCCCAGCTCAGTGTTTGTGTCGCATGTGAAGACACAAGATCCGATCAAGCCATGGGAGTCGGGAAGGGTCACTCTTTTGGGGGACGCCGCTCATAGGTGAGTCTGTCACTCTTAGATTGCCGGTGAGAATGAATCGAGTGTTAACCAAGTCGACAGTATGACCCCATACCTAGGCAAGGGTGCCAGCAGCGCCATGATAGACGCCATGTCCCTTGCCAAAGCTCTCAAATCCGAGCCAAAGCAAGGCAAAGGTGACTTTCTCAAAGCGCAGCTATCCATCTATGAGGAAGCAATGCTGAAGCATGGCTTTGAAGCAGCTAGACAGAGCATGACTGCGCAAAAGTTCACTTTCAATGCTGGAGACACCCCGTGGAAGTGTTGGTGGCGGAACCTGGCGCTCAAGGCGTGGGATTGGTGGATGTCACATCCGCCAGCGATAGAGGAGGATTTCCCAGGTATGTGTCTTTGGCTCAAGTATATCGCACGAATTACTGACTGGTGGCTAGTGAGCTATAGTGAGATGAAGAAGGACGTATGACTTCGAGCCCAAGTTACTCATAAGCCTGTCTCCACGAGAGCTCTACGAAGTGTTCGGTTGGCGTGTATAATCCAGTGGAATGATTCATAGAGGGTGTTGCTGGTCACTTTTATGTACCTATATCAGAAATAGTGATCATATTTTAAGCAAGCTTGTTGTTTTGCAAGGCCAATACACATCTAAACTAGCAAACCTACTTGATCAGGTTCCTCAACCACTCTTGGCTTCCCACGAATCCCTTCACTGATCCAGTCAGCCAACCCCGGTGCAGCCATAACATTCTTCCGCCAATCCCCAGTCCTCCAAAGACAGCACCAATGCCCAGAAGACTGACAGCCCAAATATCCCAGTTCTTGGCTTTCCACACTGGCATGCGCATATCCGCCGTCTGCAGATGCATGGGCCTGAGTTCCTTTCCATCCTTGAACCTCAGCTCAGTGTCGTAAATCAGCTCCTCAACCAGGTCCGCGGCATGTTGTTTCCGTCGGGAAGCCACATGAGCGATGCGCATCAACCGCAGGCTATTGCGCTTATAGCTCCCGTCTTCATCAAGGAGAATCTTCTTTGCCTTTGTGTAGATCTCTTGGGACGTAAAGCGGAACTTGTTTAACGGCTCAGCCACGCCTCCATCGACGAGTCGAGCTGTGTTGGAGATTTGGTCCATGAAGACACCCATGGACAGCATGGGTACCCTGTGGAAGAGACCCTCGTTGGCGCTAGAACCACCACCATGTGTGTAGTAGAGCTTTGTCGAGGGGTGGTCCAGGATAGCTCGCTGGGGGACAAAGGTGGAACACAGCCAGTCAGGGTTCTTTCCATCCAGAATATCCCCCAGGCGGAGCGTCTTGTTACCAGTTTTATAGGTCGTGTTGACATCGAGATCTTGACGGCCACTCTTGGGAATAGACCAAATGACGCCGTCCAATAAGCTCCCTTCAAGAAGAAGCAGCAGACCGTTGATGATCTTGGCTGCGTCGGCATTGGTGAGGATAATGTGTGTGCCTAGGGCGATATAGATGACCTTGGTATGCTTGGTCAGGAACTGCTCGCACTCCTCGTTGAGTGGTGGATAAGTGTCACTGATCAAGGGTCCAACCGGGGCACAGGTAGGAGGTAGATCACGCGGGATCTCCAGGCCAAGGAAGGAGTTAACAAAAATAAGGTAGTCAGGCTTCTGGATCTTGTGAGGAGGATATTTGACACCATTTTCGAGGCGCATCTTCTTGGTCCACTTCATCCATTTCAAGATAACGGGCAGGTCAAAGAAGATGACGAGTTCGTTCTTAATCCGATGCCAGAGGCTAGCATGCTCAGAGGTAAGAGTCCCCTCAAGCTGAAAGCCCGGTTGGCCAGGAATGTACGAGCATGGCATCATCAAGAAGGGCATCTGGGGCCAGACTTGAGTGATTGGCAGATTATACTCGACGTGAATATCTTTGACGGCATCAACAAAGAAGTCGGCAATCATCATGCTTGGCCTTGTCTTGGGGTCGTCCATGATGGCCTTGAGTCCCCGATATGTCTGTGGCCAGAACGAGTCCCATAGATACTTGCTGGGCATAGTCCCCGAGATGCCCTTTGAGATGTCCCACGTTCGCATGCGCAGGTAGTGGGCATTCATCTGGTCGTGAGTCGGGCCCGGGCCCAGTGTGTGGACCTTGGTGATGAACTCATAGCCCTTAGTCCAGGCTTCCTGGCCCTCGAGCGTAGCAAACTCAATGGTGTGGCCTCTTGCGGCCAGAATTTTGCCAATCTCGAATACGGGACCTGGGCGAGGGTTAGAACTTGGAAGTGAGTGGCGTGATATGGAGAGGGGCTAGTCTAACGTACTGGCATGGGTGAATCCGCCCGTCGTCACCACGAGCAGGATCTTGCGGGACGGGTGCGCCAACTCGGAACTAGGCATGGCGTGCGTCAATTTCTATTATGAGCAGTTGCTAGATGACAACTATCTCGACAGGTCTGATCTCGGGCTCTTCTGAGTGAAATAAGTTAAGGTGTCTGTCTCGGATGGCCCGATCTCGGCAAAAGTGATTGCAGTATAAGCGCTTTACATGGCAACCAACAGCGGCGGGTTTAGCGGCCTATGATTGGCTGTTTTAGGAGCTTGTCTGCTAAATTCGCCGAAGTGATCCACTCTGCGCAAGCAATTCGCGTCGTATTCAGATTCCGGAATCCGTATTAGCTGAGCTTCATTTCTCAAGGCAGAGTTTAGAGAGCGTTCCAGATCAGACACTGTTACGAGATGAGCCGAGGCGTATTTGAGGAGTCTGATAGTGAGGGGAATATCGATAAAGCAAGCAAGTTCCGAAACAAGGGTCAGAAAGCGGATTGAGATGACGTCATCTTACAAGAGTGGGATGGCTAAAGCGTCATAGTAGTGTCAAGAGAAGAATAATGAGATAAGATATCTATACACGCGAAACACTTTCAATGTCTACATATCCTTGGAAGGATACTCTTCAAGTCTCCCTCTCAGCTGGAGATCTCAGCACCCTTGTTCAGAAAGCACGGGCTCGACTACACCCGAAGACATGCTCAACACAAGATGCATTCAAAGCCTGCCTACTCAAAGCGATGAAACACGTTGTGTACAACGGGCTTACGTTGCATCCGCGCGTTACGCGAATTTTCGCTATAGTAGATGCACGCAAGGCTAGAAATATGGCTAGGGAGTATTTCGGTACTGGCATCACAGCTATTGATACGCCGTATTTGTCAGCGTCTAAAAGTCTGAGCGAAGTGGCATCACAGTTCGTGAAGGAGTCACTGGGCTAACGCCAGAGAAACTGGCCAAGGGCGATGAGTGGATTCAATCAATTCAAGCTATCAACGGGCTAATGGACTTGGCCCCCGCATTTGACACTGATACTTTGTATGTAGATGATTGGACCAAAGTTTCTATGGAGGAGATAAATTTCGGACAGGAGCAGCATATGTTCTGCCAGCCGTTAGAAGTGGAGGCTCTGCCGGTCCGAAATTGGTGCATGATTTATTCGGCAAAGGCTGCTGATGCAGGAGACGCGAATAGCCTGGAATACCAGGTACAAGTCGTGGTGCCAAAGGGACGCGCAGCTGAGCTCATTAATGGGATAGTCACGGATGTGCAGGACGGATTCGACGAGTACTTTTGGTAGAGAAGCGGTAATCTAGGCACAAAATTGGCGTGTCGTATTCTGTGAAGATGGGGAGGACCCTTGTCAGCTGAAGTCATGATCCAACGATAAATCGTAAGATTAGCTCCGGGGTGGATATAGGTCTAGACTCTTGCGCCCATTCTTGTACAGATTAGGTTGGGGGCTAGCAGAGCTGAGGATGGAGGATTGCGCTGTTCTTGGCATGTTACGATTCATTTCGGCCTCTTTAGGGGACTGTGCGGAACTCGGCGAGAATATGATTGTGGGTGCTCATTTGGTGCCCAAGTGCATGAGTAGTAGTGTATACAAACTGAAGCGCTGGCAAATAAGATGGCTATGCTAAGACGGTAGCTCTTAGACTGAATACTCCGTGCCTAAGATGTATCGACTCAGTTTGGCATCGTTACTATCACTGGCCTTGCCCGTTGTAGCAGGATCTCAATCATCATCAGGTTAGATCGTCCTTCACACCTCGGCCGAGGGTTACTGACGTGGTACAGCAATCGACCCCTCGCAATGGCTCAAGGCCCGTGGTAAAGCAGACTCACTGACCTCCAAGATGACACTGGAGGAAAAGTCCTCGATAGTGACAGGCACCTTTGACGGCACATGCATCGAGCACATCGCACCCATCAAACGTCTTGGCTTCGGCGGTCTTTGCATCCAAGACGGACCAATTGGTCTTCGCCTCGGCGATCTAGTCAGTGTCTTTCCATCGGGCGTTACTACCGCTGCGACGTGGGACAGGCAGCTGATGGCGCTGAGGGGAGAAGCAATGGCCGAAGAATTCAAAGCAAAGGGTGCCCACGTGATTCTTGGGTCAGATCTGCCACTCATCCTCGTGTTGGAATCACTGACGATAGATTAGACCCGTTGCAGGAGCCCTGGGAAGAAGTCCATACGGCGGTCGCAACTGGGAGGGCTTCTCGCCAGATCCGTACCTAACCGGCATCGCCATGGGTGAGACAATTCGAGCAATCCAAGACACCGGTGTCCAGGCTACAGCCAAACATCTCGTCGGCAACGAGCAAGAAACGCAGCGCAAGCCCACACTCATCAACGGAAAGATGGTGGACGCAGTATCCTCCAACATTGACGATCGCACCATGCACGAGCTGTATATGTGGCCCTTTGCAGACGCCGTTCACGCTGGTGTATCATCGGTCATGTGTGGCTACAACCGAGTCAACGGCACATATAGCTGCGAGAACGAGCATCTGATCAATAACCTCTTGAAGAAAGAGCTCGGTTTTGAGGGCTATGTCATGTCGGACTTTCTGGCTACGCCGCCTGGACTTGGTCCCGTTAAGGCAGGGCTTGACATGAACCAGCCCGGACCTGTAAATCCACTTTCCCCTGTTGACACGTACTGGGGCGACCATCTCGTTGAGTGTGTCAAGAACAAGACACTCTCTGAGTCGGATCTCAATGGAATGGTGCGCCGCATCCTGACGCCTTACTTCTATCTTGGTCAGGACAAAGACTACCCGTCTGAGGACCCATCGTCTCTGCCTCTCGTCTACAACGGCTTCGGGTATCCTTATCCAGGCCCTTCTCCAGTTGGCCGCGATGTCCGCGGCAACCACTCAGCGCTCATCCGTGAGATCGCCGCTGCCGGAACAGTCTTGCTCAAGAATCAAGGTTCCATTCTTCCTCTTAACAAGTCCCTCACCAACATCGGTCTCTTTGGTAACGATGCTGCTGATCCCTCCGTTGGTACCCTCTTCAGCGACCACGATGGCATCGACATCGGTACTCTTATCTCCGGTGGCGGTTCAGGAAGCGGCCGACCAAGCTACGTTATCAGTCCCTTGGACACGTTCAAGTCTTACGCGAAAGCCAACGGCAAGCGGCTCCAGTACGTCACCAACAATACTGCTATTCTCAGCATTATGCCTGGTCTGTACCCTTGGCCAGCGGTCTGTATAGTCTTCCTCAAATCGTTCGCCACCGAGGGTTTTGATCGCAAGACTCTTGTGGCAGATGACAACTCAGTTCAAGTCGTCAATAGTATTGCATCACGCTGCCCTCGCCGCACCGTCGTAGTCACTCACTCTGGAGGGCCGGACGTGATGCCGTGGGCGACGAACCCTAATGTTAGCGCTATTGTCGCTGCGCATTACCCAGGCCAGGAATCAGGCAATTCTATCCTGGACGTCTTGATCGGAAAGGTCAATCCCTCTGGAAAGCTCCCATATACAATTGCCAAGAAAGAGGAGGACTACAACGGAAAGATCACCAACATCACTGGCTCCGCAGCTGAAGACTCTTCGAATTGGCAAAGCGAATTTAGTGAGGGCCTGTTCATTGACTATCGACACTTCGACAACAAGGGCCTAGAGCCTCTCTATGAGTTTGGCTACGGTCTCAGCTACACCACCTTTGAACTATCCTCCACCCTCGTCGTCTCGTCAGCAAACAAGATCTCCGCCCGCGCATCCCCCTCCAACGCTACACTCTCCCTAGGCGGTAACCCTCACCTCTGGGAAACAGTCATCAAGTGCCACGTTGAGGTATCTAACACTGGTCGGGTTGCAGGCGCCACAGTCATCCAACTGTATGCGTCTTTGCCCAAGAACAATATACCAGCCAACAGCCCAGTACGGATGCTTCGTGGGTTCGAGAAGGTCTATCTTGAGCCTGGGGAGGCCAAGAAAGTGTCATTCGCCCTAGGGCGTCGGGATCTGAGTTATTGGGATGTTACTATCCAGGACTGGATGGTACCGAAGGGTCGCATAAAGCTCAGTGTTGGGTTTAGCTCGAAGGATCTGAGGTCTTCGACAACCGTTCAACTGGTAAAATAACGCGGTATATTCCTCGAGATGGATTGATTATTGTGAATTAAGCCTTGGTTTCAGTTTGTTATAAAGTTAATTAGTATGAGGCTTTAGTAATATTATATTTTCTCTACCTTAGTTATTTACATATATATACATTTTCTACCTATATATTGCCCTTTTGTATTATAGGAGGGAAGATTATATAACTTTTATACTCTTTAGAGAACTTCTAGAATAAAGAATAATAAGACTGCCCTTTTGTCTTAGTAAAAGTTTTAGGTTAGATAGCTAGAAGCAGTCCTTTATCCTAAATAGATATCTTATAAAGGTTGTAGGAAGGTTATATAGTAGACCTATAAGATATTTAAATTAAGCTAGCTAAATATAAAGAAACCCTACTTTCTTTACTATTTAATATATTAAGAATATAAAAAGTACTATATATTTTTAAGCCTATTACCTAATAGAACGTTTAAAGGCAATTTATTATTAAACTTTTTTTATTAATTAGAATTCTCTTTTATATTATTATATTTATTAGTATAATCTATAATCCTTAATTACTAAATTATAGGTTATAGTTAAATATTATAGTAATAGGGAAAAACCTTAAAAGGCAATTAAAGGCTAATAGTATAGATAATCTTTGAAGGAGAAGAACTTAGTATAATTAGCATTATTAATTAAAAGGATATTATTAAGAATGCCCTAGGCATTGCGCTTTAATATTTTAGGCATTTTAGTTCTAAGATGCTGCTATTAGATCCGATAAAGGTATTATTAAAGAAGGCAAACTCTCTAAAATTCCTTCTCTAAAAACTGCTGTTAGGGAGCCGATTGTATCCCTATAGTTTTTATATGGTTATATTGCCTGCAGAAAATCCTACTCTTAGCACTGCACTAACAGTGCGTGCCAAGGAAGAGTTTTTACAGGAGAGAGTTAACTTGCCCCTGCAATTGGTGCACAAACCTTGCCTGCATGGTAGACGAGCGGAGGACGGGAGGAAAGTCTGCTCCGTTTAGATGAGATTGAGGCACAGGAGGCAGAATGCGTAAAATAATCGACAGAATCGAAAATGGATTGCTTACGATGGGTCCGACTTGAGAGTGCCCCACTGAAGACGACTCAACGTACGACCTCGGAATGCAAAACTCGTGATTGCGGTAGATATAGGACTCTCTCTTGTTGGGGCTGTGTATTGGAGATGATCACGAACCTGTCCGAGACCCGCGCTGCAAGTACGCGGAAGGTCTAGAAGCACGGTCACGGTGATATCTATTCATCGCGCAGCATGACTCGACGCTCACAAGTTCAGGTAAATAATCACAAGAAATCATCTTTTCTCGAGATAACCTCCGGCTGCACGCCAAGATATGATCGCCCAGCTCCGACCACAGGGCTGACGCTTGCAACCGAACCTGTTTCGCCGCAGCATATCCCCGGGCGAGATTAGCGGCACGGCTTTTCCTAAATCCCTCAATTACCGTTTGAGCTTCCCATACTGTACTAGCCTGACAGACGGGTAAGCGGGAACGGCACAAGTATTACCGGAAGCCAAGGACCTACCCGGCCGCCGTGATGGCTGCAGGGAACAGAAGGATTCTTGCTCTGTTTTACATGTTTTGGGGGCCAGATATGGAATGCAACGTCGCGTAGGTGCGCTGCGTGACTTGTGGGGTGATTCAGCGGATAAGAACAATGTCCTTCCGCATGGATCTTTTGCACAATTGCAAAAAGGGAAGATGCCGAAGTTCTGTGCCGTCCAGGGGGTCAGATCCTTTGCTGTCTGTGGGTGGTACGATGAGTGCGTTATCGCAAGAATATGTTTCTGATTGTCACAACTGCGAATGCTGGCGGGTTTTCAAACCCACTAAAATCAAGTAGCGAAGCAGGGGGGTTGCAGGGGCCATTTTGTTAGGACCAACATCGAATCTTTGTTCTCGACTTGGGCATTCGTAAAAGCATGTCCTACAGCATAACGAGGATCCCGAATCCTTCCGTTTGGGATACTCAATTGCTCCATTACCATGCAGCAGAACAACAAAATCCGCTTTAGTTTCTTCTGCATTCTCGTTTCCGTAGCTCCAACCCCAATTAGTTACCGCGTTCCCTTTCTCCGCAATAATGCACAGTCCATCCGGGACACGACCCAAGAAGAGACTCGCCTGCGACAGGTGTCACGCTCGTAAACTACGATGCTCTGGTGACCTGGATGGTTGTACACGATGTCTTGGTGACGATTTGGTCTGCGTTTATAGCCCTGCTCTCAAGGTTGGACGACCTAGCAAGGCGTCGATGGCCGGCAGAGAGATACAGCAGACACAGTCCATTTCTGACGCTGCTATTTATGGCATTTCCGATAGAGATGCAGTGACTGTGGATTCGGGGATATCCATGCCGCCATCACCTCCACAGCTCGGAGATAGTTGCATTACAGGTAAGCCTCTGTCCTTCGCCAATCGTGTATGCATCGCCGTTGATCTTGTTTCAGATCATACAGCACTCTTCAACTCTTTCGACTTTACCAACACCTTCGACAACTTCAACGCCACACATCCGTTCCTCGACATGCCCATGGATGAAGACCTGTGGCCTCTGGCGACAAGTACACCTGTTTCTTCGAAGGATCCCAATATCGATCCACGTCTATGTCTAACAAATGAAACACCGAATGGATCTAGCCAGCTGGACAGACTATCGAGGCTCCAGCAGGAGCTTTTACGCACGAAACTGCCACCCGTTCACGCGAGGGGTGTCGTCACTCAACCTCGGCCGGCGAAATACACAGAAGCAGCCATGAGACCTGTCCAAGAGACGCTGGGTGTCGTGACCGAGCTATTACACCAATGTGTGAAAAGCAATGGCGATGCAACAGACCCAGTCTGTTCCAATTGGCAAACAGTCCTTCACCTGGTCCTCACGCCCCTGTCTCTTCTGCTATCTACATACGATCAGATACTACAAGAGATCCGCAACGCGGTATCTTCATCTGTATCGAACCAGGATTGCCCGCTGTTCGACTCGCTGGACTGCCGCGTCGCCGGCCTGAAGCTTGATCCGCCATTGAGATTGATCTTGCTGGCGACTGTGGTGGACTACCAATTGAAACACCTGTATCACACGGTGAGGACGTTTCAGTCCAAGTATATGCATTCAGGGAATCTGGGAATAGCGGATTGTATGTCATCGTCGACTATGGCTGAGGTTCAATCCACGATTCGGTCGCTGCTGGCGGTGACTAGAAGCACATTACAGCAATCACAGGAAACATAGATAAAATACCATTTAAGGTTAAGTAAAAAGCAGAATAGATAGCGGTGGCTATGCTTATGCAGGAGATATTACGACCCAATAAGGCATCCACGTGCGACCCACATTTTCCACCAATCAATAACACTTCCGCTAAAGACAATTAGCGCTAAGACTCTATAATTATAGTTAATTCCTCTTAATTAGTAATAATCTATTTAAATTATTATTAATCTAACAATAACCTTACTAATTAACCCTAAAGGCATTTAGTATATATATATATATTTATTTAGCATTAAATAGAACTTAACTTATTAGCTATTAATAAAACTTCTTTATATTAATAAGCCTAATATATATTACTTAATTATTAAGAGATATAATACTTAAATTAAGCTTAATATATATACTTTATATTTTTATAAATATAAAACCTAATATAGACTAATTTCTTATTTAAAACCTATAACTATTATATATTAATAGCTTTTATTTAGTATATATTATATATATATTAAGTAATAATATACTATTAAGATATTTAATAATACTAATACCTTAATACCTCTTTATATTAAAGTACTATTTAGTAATATTAAAATAGCAGCTAAAGTTTAATAATTTTATAATACTATTAATACACTTTAAGTATAAATAAATATATAGCTTATTGCTAATAATAAAAGAGGTAACTATAAATACTATAAAAGAGACCTTAGAAAAGTACTTAAACTGCTTAAGCTAGAACCCTTTAAAGGCCAGATAAGTAATATAATTCTATTCCTTACTTAAATAAAAGGTTACTTTTAACTATTTTTAAATAGACTAAATAGCCTAACTAAAAAACTACTATTTACTATACTATTAATTTAAAAAGATATTAAAAATTAAAAAAAAATTTATTATAAAGGACTACCTTAAGAATAAAAAAAACCTATAGAATTAAGATATTTAAAATATTTTTAGAAATTAAGAAAACTTTAAGTAAGCACTTAAAGATAATTTTAAAGTAATTAATAAAGAATGCCAGGCAATAGCTAAACTGCTTATACTTAAATAGTATAAGTTATATATAGCCTATTTAGCTAAATTCTAATAGCTAGCCGCTAAAACCTAATAAAATAATAACTTACTTATAGAAATTTACTATTAAAGCTTAAAAAAAGAAATTAAAGATAA